ATTTTATGTTGCCATGTTACAGTTTGGAATATACCCATGAAACAAATATCCTCAAAATGCAGGAATGTCACCAGAAAATGAATCTTTGAATCAGATTTCCAATGAGGAAATGTTGAATATTGACTGAAAACTGCCAAAGAAGGTGAAACAAGATGCAAAGATGATATGTTAAATAAATACTTCTGTTTTTTCTATATTTTCAATTGTGTAAGAAGTCTGAAAAGTTGCAATTTACGTAGTTCCAAAGAGCTATAACTCTGGAAAAAAAACAGCATCATTGTTTCCTTTCGGAAACCAATTTTGGTCCAAAATCTACGAGTACAGTTATTCCGAAATTTCACCAGGAAAAAAATACCTCTTAACAATAAACATCCAGGAATGTTCAAGTATCCTCCTAGATCGGTCTCCCATACATTATATAACGTAATAAACCTCAAACATCTGCCATTTCCAGGAATATATGATACCCACTTTCACTTTCTCTGCTGAGTCTCGATGTTGCCCTCAGAAACCCAGTCCCTTCGAGATAATAGATTGCCTTTTCATGTCGCTGAACGAACCGTTAGCCTACTTTCTCCGCAAAACATGGAATATTTTGTCAAAGTCCATGGCGCAGCGATAAGATGGAAATCAGTTCGTTAATGTTGGATGTAATTAATGTTCGAAAGGAGGAATTATTCGTATCGTGTATTCACGCTAGTTTATCAATTAAGCCAGGCGCGAGGTTCTGGAGCTGACCCTTTGGTGAATGGTGTGGAAAGTGATACCTTACCAAGAACAAATTATGTAGAGGGTTGGACATCCAGATAGATATTTGATATTATGATGGAATCGGCCGATACTTGATGAAAATCCATAACTAACGTATTCTAAAAACAACACTTCATTGTGTGATTTTCTCTAGACAGTTTTACAAAAACGCAACACGTGTTTCGCCGTACAATGGCTTCCTCGGGCGTGTCTTAATAACTAATTCTACAAAAGCAACTTTTGATATCTCCATTAGGTTGTGCTTTGAAAATGATGCCAAATGACATGCATATGACCGATCAAGTGATTTTTCTTCCCTGTCAAATCTGACATTATTTCCAAAAAATGTTCAGAAAAGCAGTTATTACTTGAAATTTCGAAAATCGTTAAAGAGAAAAGATGATTGTTTTTTTCATTTTTTACCCATATACCAATTTTCAGCTCTCTAGTACAGTTTTTCGAAAATTTGACATAAGCCGATTTCTCAAATTTAGCCAAACCTCAACAAAGTCAGTGCTTTATGCCTAACTTATCTTTCCAACGCATTTTTATTACCAATTGCAATTCTAAATACAACTTATTTCGGAAAAATTTAAAACACCAGAAAAAATTATGCCAAAAATGATGCAAAGTTGATACAGTTTTTGAAAACAGATAAATAATTCACTTTATTTCTACTTTTGCGAAATAGCTTGATACATAAGCATAATTAAAAAACAATATCAATGAAAAGTCAATAATTTATTCTTTACTGCACTTTTCAAACAGTTAAACTTTGATTTACTAATTACGAAAAATTACAACGCAATTAAACTAAGGGAAGGAATTATACGAAAGTAATTTCACATTTACTAAATATCTTTTATGAGGTATAAATGAACAAAATTACTTCAGAAATCAATTTAGATTTTGTTGCCTAGAAAATTTTTTGCCAAAAAAATTATCCTATCAAATTTGTCTATTTCTAGTCATGTGTGTCGAAATAACCAATGAAACCATCATTACACTGATAAATTACACTGATAACTACCCATGGATAGTTTTCACGGGTAGTTATCACTTATGTCATGACATTGCTAAGCAACCAACACAATAAAGTTGTTTGACATTTCAGTAATTCAATTTATTTCGAAAATGTCACTTCCTCGCTTTGGTGTTCAAAATGATGCGGCAATTGACAAAATCATTGAAGAAAATACACCAAAAAATACTGTCAATAGTAAAAAATACACTTGGAAAATATTTATGGAGTTTTGTGACGCCAGAAAATATGAATTGGATGGAAATCGTACTCTCGAAGAGCTTGCATTAACACTCAAGGATTGGGCGATTAATATGAGAAAAAAGAATAGCACAGAGTTTAAGGAGGCTACTGTTAAAACCGTATGGAATATAACAAGCAAATTATTACAAGAAAAGTATTACAAGGAGTATAATATCATGCTAGACCCCTTTAAAAGTGTTGCATTCAAACAAGCGCGGAATGCACGCGACGCAGCACGAAGAAATTTACAAACAGATCCCACTAAACGCAAAACAAGCTCAGTACCATTAACTTCAAATGAAATGAGTAAAATTATAAACTTTTGGGATGAAAATACCCCTATAGGACTCCTACGCAAATTTTATCACATAGCAGCGGTGGAATTGGCTTGGAGAGGTGGTGAAGGTGCTGCTTGCTTAGTTGATTATTTTCATATCGAAAAGGACAACAATGAATCTCCAACTAATAGGATAGAATATAATCCAATTTTCAGTAAAACCTGCCAAGGGGCAGGTTTTACTGAAATAGACTATTTTTAAGGCCAAATCGTCACTGGAAGACAGGAAGCGATAACTGGTATGACAATATGCCTCTGGGTAGAAATATAATCAACGGATGGACGAAATCTTCTGCTGAAGCAATTGGCTTGGATACGAAACAGAGGAAAATAACCAATCACTCTAATAGAGCAACTGCAGTCAGTCAACTAGCTAAGAGTGGAGTTCAAGAACAGCAATTGTTGAAAATTACTGGGCACAATAATGGAAATTCCATAAAACCTTATTTGAATATTGATCAGGAACATCATAACCAAATAATCAATAGTATGCGTGGAAACACCTATGCAGCAACCGAGGCAAATACAGCAAGATCAACGGAATATCATTATACGAATTGTTCTTTTAATAACTGTGTGTTCAATGAATAATTTTGTTCGAATTGCAAAAAATTTTCTCACCGAATATCCCTCGAACATTGATAAATAACTCATAATTTTATCACAACTTCCTCAAGCACGTTATTTTAGGTAACATCCCTCCGCCTTCGGCGTCGGTATGTTACCAAATAACGTGCTTTCGAAAACTGTGATAAAATTATTTCGTTAGTTATCAATGTCCTTGGGATATTATAGCTGAAAACTAAACCGTAAAAAATTCTAACAAACATCTGTTAAATCAAGAACACTAAATCAAATCGAAACATATGCCTAAACCATGTAAATACCAATAGAAATACAAAATAAAATGTCACATTTCGGTGTGCCTTCCACCACGTTTAATGCAATCAATTGTCCTTTTTAAAACATCTTTAACTGCATTCTTTATACTACGGGGTTTCGTGCTTACAGCACATTCTCGAATAACTGCCTCTAAATGGATAACATTATAGAAAATACACAAAATAATGTTATCCAATTTGGTACTGAAGAGCCTTAGGGCAAGTGTCTTAAAGCAAAACATCGATCTATACCAGTGAGGATGACAGTGTTCCATGTAAGTGCAATTTGTTACCATTCATTTAAAGTAGAACTTATATGAATGATTCAATTCAATGTTTATATGACAGTAGCTGTTTCAGGAGGACTTTTTCACTTGTATTTTATTTAACTGTAATTCCATTTCAGATTTTTTTGGCTCATTATAATCGATATTTTCAGCTATTCTTCTCAATTTTCCATCTTTATTGGTTTTGATAGGTATTTCAAATCATTTTATATAATATTAGACAATGGAAGTCCGAACTAATGAAATTCACCATGAAGCATTGTCAATCACCTTCAAACAAACGTAAAAATTTCTAGAACGGAATTTTGCAAACTAAAGTCGAACAATGCGTTCATCATGAACAGATTCCACACTCTTCGAGATATATTAAACAAAAAAAAATTAATAACCCTTCATACTTCTATGGTAGAATCGGTTTTAAGATACTGCATTCTCTCTTGGAGAGGCATTTTTAATTCAACAATAAAAACTTTACAAAGTGCACAAAACACAATTTTAAAAATAGTTCTCAAGAAAAACAGAAACTACACTACCAATCTTTTGTATAAGGAAACAAAAATATTCAATGTAAGATCTATTTACATTTATCGTTGCTTAATGTGGTCCCAAACAAATTGTTAAAAATTTGTACTACAAAATTCCCGAACAACAAGAGGTGTTACAAATACACAATTTACAGTTCCCTCAATGCATAAAACTTTGACTCAAAAATCAGTTTATTTTTATGGACCCAAATTATATAACCTTCTCCCAAATAATATAAAAGAACTAAAAAGTGCAATGAGATTCAAAAAAGAAGTAAAAGATGTTTTAATGGAAAATTACAATATTTTCCATATATTCTGAGGAAACAATAATCTCCCATTTGCTAACCTCACAAAAACACCCATATGTTATAAACTATACGCCTGTTTTGAACAGGAACATTATTCTATCAATTGTTCCACTCCTCTCATACCCAAGCATTATGAAAGCCTAAAATGTATATGAAACAAGTAAATTGGACAAATTCTATGTATAACTAATCTTATCTCTGCTCCACGATATATTGTTAGAATAGGAATATGATCCTTCAAAGATAACTTTCAGAAGACAGCCATTAAGTTGCCTAACTGTAACTATCACTGGAGGAATCATATTGAACAGAATGTAAAAAAAATATTAAACAAAATGTAAAAATGTATTTCCAGTTATCTGAATTGAATAAAATCGAAATTGAAATTGTATCAGCACTATCATTGTCAAATGACTTGTAAATTTTTCGAGCTATTTCGGCAGCGCTTTTGCTCCATTTGAAAAGGGTTGAAAATTCAATTCGAAGAAAATTAACAACACCAATAATCACAACACAAAGTTCTCTATCGAGAGTATATACCACCACATATGGGGATACAAGAACGTATTACATTGAAATGTTGAAAACTAATGGAACAACCTGAAGAAGAACATTTCTTTCAGTAAATCAATAAGAAAACACTCACCTCCACATCCCACATTTCCGAAAACACTGAAGACTCCAACTTGATAATCCGATTAGCACTCAAGTCTATCACTTTCAACTTAGACAACCCGAAAAAAGTCAGATTATTGATATCGCAGAGATAATTCTCTGACAAGTCCATCTCGAGGACATTTCCCATAGATTCAAAGGCTTTATCTTCAACTTTGATTATGTTATTGCTGTTCAGCCGAATGTATTTGAGCTCTGTGGTGTTGAAGAAAACGAATCTCTTGATGGTTCTGATACGGTTTTTCTGCAAATCTAGATGCTTCAGACGTGTCAGTTGGGACAGAGAGAACTGATCCAGGTGTTCTATTTGGTTCTTGGCTAGCTTGAGGCTCTCGAGTGAGGTAGAGTTCCCGAAAGCGAATTTCTCGAGGCGTTCCAGTAACGCCAACGAAACCGAAAAGTTTTTAAGAAACAACATATGTTCGAAGAAGTGAGACGGAATGAACCTTGTCTGGTTACTAGTCATGAGATTGAACTCTGTAAGGAAGGGTTGCGAGCTCACTATCAATCTCCACATGAAGTGTTCATCAACGATTGGTCCAAAAATCCAACACTCCGCCGTTGATACCGGATATCGTTCTTGAACGCAAAAACAACGGATATTTTTGCCATCTGATGCCTTCAAATCGCACATATTGTTCAGCTCATTCGATTCGCTCTTGGGCCTACTCCTCATCCTCATTTCTTTGGAGGCTGCCCCAATTAGCCAGAGGGCTGTCAAAATTAAAGTTGATTTCATTGCGGGTATTCTGAAAATAATTAAAACATAATTAGATTTCTGCTTCCATCAACAGGATTCTTCAATGTTTTCATTGCAAGGGGAGACAAAAGATAACATTTTGATGAATTCGTCCGTGAAAATGACTCTTAATAATTTATGCTGATTTGTAAGGGAAACGGAAAAATGGAGAATATCAAAAGCATTGTGTAACGATCAAAATTATATATTTCTTTCATTAGGAGGAAATTATATTCATTTATTATGTAGGGGAGTACCCTTCAATCCAACAATTCAAACAGTAAACATTTGTAAATCTTCAAAAGGGGTTGATAATTCATTTTGAGGAAATAACAAGGTATGATCAAAGTGACAGAAGTTGAATTACGAAATTTAAATTCGTATTAGAACAATTTGAGAAAACATTTACATGTTTCGCTCCTGAACTCATACTCCAATAATTAGGGGTATATTAGTAGCATAGGGTCATTCATTAAGCGTGTCCTATCTTTATATTTATGTCAAACACGTATTTTGTTCTTTCTGAATCAACAATGAAAGGCTGCTTCTCGAAGGCTTGGAACACTGTTCCGAACCAGAAAACTGTAGACACCTCAGAACTTTTGAATGTTTTACAAAGCTCAGATCAGACCTTTTTTGGAGTATTGTTCTCATGTATGCAGCTCTGCGCCCTCAGATACTCCCCCCGAAGATGGAAGCATACCGTAGTTGTCGTGATTCCGAAACAGGGCTAGAACCCGCTGTTTCCCCAGAATCATCGTCCAATTAGTCTGCTTTACTCAACGGCTAAGTTGGCTGAACGTGTTGTGCTACAAAGGCTGACAGAAGAAGTTGAAGACAAAAATGTTCTGCCTGATGAACGATTCGGCTTCAAGAGGGCACACTCCACCGAGCTGCAGGCCCTGGGACTGGTCGAAAACTCCATCTCAGAGCTGAACAATAGAAAGACAGTCCATCTCGTCCTTCTGGACATTTCGAAAGCCTTCGACCGAGTATGGCATGAATGCTTATTACACAAAATGCTCGGTTTCGACCTGCCTCGGGGCCTGATTCGATGGATTAGGTCTCCCGTCAGGGAAATCCAAGCTGGAGTGCCTCAAGAAGCTGTGGTGTCTCCACTACTGTACAGCCTTCACGTGAGCGACCTTCCTAAGTTCGATAACGTGAAGGTTTCTCTCTACGCCGATGATACGGCTCTCCTCGCTTCTTCCATGGATAACAATTTGTTAGAAACAAATATTGACCAACGTTTTATTTTTTTTTCTGAAGCAGAAAAATTTTTTGAAAACAGCTATATATAAAAAAATGCCATAATAATTATGGATTGATTGATATTAGAAACTATTATGATGAATTAAAGAAAAAATTCATGGCACTTTTCTATATATAGCTTTTTTATAATTTCCTTCTGCTTCAGGAAAAAAAATATAAAACGTTGGTCAATATTTGTTTATAACAAACTGTTAAACTAATAAACAATTGAATAATAAATTTTTTTTCAGCCAAACTATTTAGAAGTGTAAATTATGATTTTTGAAAGCAAAATAATTTCTCAACTAATCGTTTGAACAATCGAAATATGAAAAAATCGATTTTAAACAATTAAAAATTAAAATCAGGAAATTTTTTTCAAAATCATAATTGTCTCTAGACAACACAATAGCAAAAAAAATTTTTGAAAATTGTTTTACTCTATGTGTTTAAAACAATTTGAAAAACAAATTCCGTAAAAAATTAATATCCTATGTTAATAACTGCCATTGTTCAATGTGAAAACAGACATAGCTAAATATCAATTGAAACAAAAAAAATTTTCAACAATTTTCAGATATTTCATTTTACAATACTTATATGGAAAATCATAATTAACAAATCAATAAATTTTCATCAACTTTTATTGCAGGATCGTATGTGGTATATATATCAAAAGGGCTCCACGACGTTTAAAATTTATAGGCCAATTATTTATACTTTCTATCCCATTATTTATGCCAACGGAGATTGGGAAAAAATTTCTTAGTTAACAATTGAATAACTTTTTGAAAAATGGTGATAAATTTTTTTTTCTACGGGACTCGATTGATTCAAGTGTTAAGAAGATACTAGATTTTTTTCAAATTTTTAAAATGACATTTTATGTTATAAAAAAATCATTTCTTTTGATAAAAACTAAATACATTATCATATTAATCTTGTTTTGTTAATAACATTTGCAATTTTTTACCTGCACCAAAATCCTTCAAAAATATTTTTCTAGAGGTGATTTCGAATCGAATGAGCTATCGCTCATATTTTTAGGATCTTTATCTCTATTTTTCATGTTTTTCAACTTGTTGATTAGACTAAATCGCCTTCCTCTGGTCATTAAAATACAAGAAATAGTTTTGAATACTCGACATGTCAAGTGTAGGATCCAAATCACTTCCAATAAAGTTGGGTGAATTGCATTCGTCACAAATTGTTCGTAAACATGTATTCACCATTAATAACAGGTATATAGCATGACTAGAGTTATTATAGAGGGCTTTTCTATGCAGAAAGTGAATTTATATCAAGTACCTCTTGAATATATTATTATTTCACCTTCCATTGTGGCCGTTATAGTTCCATGAAACATAATTGAAAAGTTTTCTACGGAGCTCAAATACGGCTTTCCTATTATTCGCGTGCTTTTCATAGATTTCTACAGATAACTATGTTGTTAGCGGGTGGAGAGCCAAGAAAAAGATGAACTTTCAGAGCCTTTCAGAGCCTTTCAGAGGCTAAACTTAAAGAAGGCGTCTTTGTAGGACCCGACATTTAAAAATGATGTTCAACGTAAACTTTGAAACCATAATGACCATACATGAGAAAGAAGCATTGGTATCATTCAAGCAAATTGTTACAAAATTCTTAGGAAATGCGAAAGATTCAGAATATCGTACCATTGTAGCTAACATGTTGAAGAATTTAAAAAATTTAGGATGTTTGTTGAGCCTGAAACTCCACTTCTTGAACAGTCATCTTCATTACTTCCCGAACTAATTGAAGAACATAACCAGGGCCGCTGAAACATCAATATGATGGGATACTACTGTTGGTCACTTCACCGTGAAGCTCAACAAGCGACTGATCGCAGAAAAAGCTACACAAGAAACCTCAAAGAAAAGAGAGAAAGGAAGATAAAACCAATTCCATCTGACTAGTGAAACCTACAATACAACACAACTAGATTTGGATTCAACACACAAAAATCTATAAAAATCAGCTATTGAAGTAAACAAAGTTTTGAAAAACATTTTTTTTTTTGGCCTGTGGAATCAAACAAATATTATTTGGGTGCATGACGTTCATTTATGGATCTCTTGAATGTATCTGACAATTTTGTTTCGAGTGACGCATATTAAGCCATGTAACAGATTCGAATGTACCAGACCATAGTAGACCAACATTGATATGTCCCTAGATACCGTGCCCTTCAGTTGTCTCAGTACAAAGCAACCTTCACTCAGTTTATTGTTCAATTTCGATTCAACACTAAATAGTGTTGTTTCGACTCGCCAAAGGCCTCATCAGTAGCCCTGAGATGGACCACTAATACATTGCTGGACTCAACTATCCACAAAGGACAAGTCTGAGTGCAGCTTCTTTTCAATTACCAGTTGAGTCCAGCTGAACTCAACTGTCCTTCAAGGACAAGCTTCAGTCTTTGAAGGACAAACCTGAATCCAGCTTCTTCATGGACAGTTGAGTACAGCGTCTTCCTCATTGGAGAGTTGAGTCCTTGGAGATCAAGTCTGAGTTCAGCTTCTTCTTCATGGGCAGTTGAGTCCAGCTGGACTCAACTGCCCATGAGTTCTTGCAGGACAAACCTGGGTACAACTTCTAATAATGAAAGACAATCTAGTCCAGCAACTCCCAGTACCACTGATGAGGCATCTGGTGGGTTGTAACAACGTTATTTGATGTTTAATCATAAGCACATTGTGTTGGGGATCTGTTATTATCGAACAGAAATTTGTCTCAAAAATGTTCTATGGTTGAAATTCTGTGTTCTTCAGGTAACGCTATTGATTAGTGAATATCCGCTTTAGGCAGTCCTGTCTTGACAATTTTGAAGGAAACATATGTGTCAATGTCACGTGAACTTGAATTGAATCCAGACGTCAGTGCATGTGAACTATCCCTGATATTTTTGTTCTCCATTCCAATATGTTGAAAATGTCAGTACATTTCTAGAAAAGTTGAATGACGAATGATAAAGTAAACACGAACAACAGAAATAGTTATATCGTAATTATCATAAATATGAAAATGGATTTGTTTTATATCGTATATCACATTAAAATAATTGGGTTGGTTGAATTGATTTCATTTTCAGATAAACACAGTAATTTCATTTCGTTGCATGAATGCGAGCATGTATGCATATTTAACAAGGGTATGATTCCGCTAGGCAATTTATGAATTATGAAGTTCATTCTATTCTAATTAAAAACGGCACTCATATTTGATGAATTTGCATATTAAAATATTGCTAATCCTGATATTATTTTAACCTAGTTTCATAAAAAAATATAGAGGAAATTCAAATGAAGTCGGCCTTATCAAAACAATGTTTATCAGTGACGTATTTGGATAAAACTATATTATGAGATTTTCATTTAACAGTTCACAAAATCGCAACACGTGTTTTGTAATAAAATAACTTCTTCAGACGTGTTTAGTACTGAATAATTCAATATATCCATCGTGCTGTGGCAGTCTCTCGGATTTCGGTGTTGACCTTCGTTGAGCTTGGTTGAGAGTTCAAGGGTACCATCTCGCTGATTTTGTAGAATATATATGGTTGTATTTGTGCCATCCTTCACGGGGATTATACCTACAAGTCAGGATTGTATAGTGGAAGACTGATTGGTCATTTTGGTGTGGATATTTGCAGTCTGAAACTTAAACACTTTTGAGGATTTGTGGTGGTTACCGAACTCATTGTACCAGGTGGAAGGATTTCCGAAATCAGG